TTGGTATATTCCTTTTGAAGTGCTTGTTTGATTCAATGTTTGTTTGTAGAATTCTTATGTTATCATGCTTGTAGATTTTTTGTTTTTTAATTCTTATTTTATATTTAAATAAATTAGTATTTATTATGTAATCTGGTTCCGTAATAACTCATACTTTAACTTAGTTAAATAAGTTTTTTAGGAGTTGTTATAAGTCAAAATTACAAATTATCTTCGAAATAGTATAGATATTGTAGTGTTTTAATTATAATATTTTTTTTGTAATTTTTTGGCATTGATAAGAATCTTTAAAAATTAACACATTCCGATATAAATGGGAATTTTGGAATTGTTATATGTATGTTTTACAAAATGATTACACCAAAATTCTTTAAACATGATTAGTTATTTTATGATTTTTTTTAAAATAATTTTTGGAGCTTTGAATTTGAAAATATAAGTGAATTTATATTGAAAATTGAATAAATTATATAACTATATTTATTTTATAAAATTATTTTATTCAAAATATCTTATGCCATTATCTTAAAATCATTAATATTTTTTTTTCTTCTTATTCATTCAGCTAATAGAGACATAAATGGAATTTAGAAAGAAAAGAGTTAAAAAGAAGAAAAAAACTTAGAATATGAAGATTGTGTAGTAATTTTTACTAATTGACTCTATTGAGAAATTTGCTCATATTATAAGGAATCATTATCCTTTTTTAGATTTTGAAGATTTTGTGTATTTTATATTTTATGCATTTTAATTTGATCAAAACTTGCAAAAGTTATAATATCTTGACATTTATCAAACTTCCATCACATAATTTTTGGTATATTGTTAATACATGTATTTTTTAATGTAATATTATTAAATTTCATAGGGTAAATATAAGTTATTGAATTTTATATGAAATGTACTAAATAAATAATTGGGTATTTTTATTTAAGCATATTGTTAATACATGTATTTAAAATGAAAAAGATGTGTGATTGAGTAATTGATGGTTGTTATTATTATTATAATGTTGTGATTATAATATATGTGAGGAGGACAAGTAAAAGTTAATTTCACTAATATTTGTTGGAGATTACCTGACATGTACAAGAATGGCGGGCCGACGGGATTTCATTAAATATTATGATTATGTGTTATTATGTATAGATTCATGTGATACACAAACTTGAGTTATAAGGGGTTATTACTATTCCGACGAGCAAAGAGTAATGGTTTTATTTAGTGAGCCAACAATTATTAAAAACTAATTTACTACTCGAAAAATGTCGCCTAAATCAAGACTTCTTGTTTAATATGATTATAAAAATGCATGTTATTATTCATTATTATTATATGAACTTACAATTATTTAATGATTTACTATTAATGCATTATTTTATTGCTTCTGCCATTAGTTTTACTTATATCAATATGGACATCAATACTGTTATTAATATTACTACTAATGTATTGTTATCGTACTGATTTATTATTACTATCACAAATTTTACTGATGACATTGTATTAATATTGAGCATGTGATTAAGATATTGAATTGATATTCATATAAAATAACTGGATAACATGTGTACATTATTATAATGTCTTACAACTTTGATATGATTCTAATAGTCTTTATCGATGCTTTGGTTTTACCTATTTATACGATTTTTTTACTGATAGATAGTACAAATACAATGATTGTTTAATCAATACTAGTTTTCCCATTATACTTTTTTACTTGCTACACACTTTACTGCTATTGCATATATGTTTTACTATTTATGTATTGACTAATGATCATGTAAATGCTATTGCTATGATTTAACTGCTGATATGCATATTGCTTATTTGTCGTGTTTTGAGTTCAATTGTAGGATTTGGTTACTTGCTGGGTTCTTGAATACATTATGTATGGTTAAATGATTTCATGTTAGGACAATAGAGTTTGAGTGTGAGATTGATTAGATTCTTGTTATTTTAACTATTTTTTTATACTCAGGATAGAGTAGCTCTAATAGATCATGAGTAGTGCATATGATGTTTGAGAAAATGAATACATATGTATATATTGATGTTTTGATCAATAATTTTATTTCGATTGGTATTTATATTAATAAGAGAAATTATATAGCTCTGATTATTATATATTAAAAGATAACAGAATTGTTCTTTCAAATTAGATTCTGGGGCATCATAAATTCAGCCCCGGTTGAACCATACCCCTGAACCTCTCCTTTTTACCATTTTGTTGTCCGATCCGTTTTTACGGTTTGAACTATTCTATGGTTCAATAATGTTAGTCTTGCATTATAATTAATTCAAATTTGAAATGGTTTGAACTTTAAGCTAAGGGTTCATTCACGTTGGGCTTTGGCTTTGTTTGGAAATGCTTTCTTACTACTTTCTAAATAAGCTTTTTAGTCTAAAAAATTTTAATTTTAAAAAATTACTCTAGAAAATAATAAAAAGATTATCTCAAATAAAGCCTTAAATTTTGTCTTGAAATTAGACTGTAATCATTGATCTGATGATGATGGATCTTCTTATTTGTCTTGTGAGATAAGAAGAGGATACTATTTAGTCGCATTAGCTTCTGTCAATTAAGTTGTT